ATTCCTGATCAACTGCTCCTTGCAGTTATTTTAAGAGTTAATTAGAGCCTTTATACAATTACGTCTATAATTGGTCCGCTTACTCTTTCATAATGTTTGGGGTGAAAAAGAGAGCTGAAGCGTTATAATCCCATATCTTTTATTTTTGTTAACTTGGTCTTGATCATCTCAGGATGCATCATCAGTCATAAATTAATTTTTTTAGTCTTGTTATTCTAGCAAAGAAACATTATACAGTGCTGTTTGATGCCTGTGTTTCTCTTCTTGGAAGGCCAATGTGATCCGTAAAACTACCGTGCTTGATGTTATGAGAAGGCTTCTCCAGGTGCGATATGTAGCTTGTACTTGTTTCAAAACAGGTTGCATTTTTCTGATCATATGGTTCCTTGCAGACAAAAAATATTATGGTTTCCTCTTATGCACGCACAAAAGAAGCTAGCCAAGCAAAGTATATTTCAATACTGAATATCATTCAGGGAGAAGTAGATCCTACTCAGGTATGGTAAATTATTTTTATTGGAAATGATATAGCTCTTACATGAAATATATCTCTCAAGTCTGATATTTAAATTTTGCATAACAAAATTATACATTTCATTCTTTATTCTTAAGAAGTATTAATTTTGATAAGATTTCTTGTTAGTTGTTAATGGTTATGCATTCAAAGATCAACATTAAGTTTTGCCTACCACCTTTTTTTGTGGGGAAAAGGGTTTTGTGTCATCCATTCGTAATGGTTTGAGCTTCTAGTATTAAATAATTTCCCTTGTTTTACAGGTGCATGAAAGCCTACAGAGGATTCGTGAAAGAAAGCTAGTAAATTTTATTGAATGGGGACCAGCAAGTATTCAGGTTTATTGATTATTGAAGCAGTTGTCATCACTTTGGTCTATTTTTTTCGTATGATTTCTGTACTTACGTGACCCATTTTTTATTTTGGTGTTTTTGTAGGTTTTTCTTTCTAGAAAGTCTCCATATGTCCAGACTGCCCATAGGGTACAATTTTAGTTCTTGTCTTTTGGAGTTTAGATCTCTTATTTTGCCTGCTTTTGGTCTGAATTTAATGGTAACAACTTTGAGCATTATTTTTCTATTTCCTTAAAAATGGCCCTTTAGTTGGAGAGAAAAACAAGAAAGAATAAACAAAGGCATTTGCATTCTTCAGGCGAGTGGCCTCATGCTAGCAAGTCATACTAGCATCTGACACCTCTTCAGCAAATTTTTAAGCCAGTACGAGAAATTGAGAAAGAAGCAAGCATTTCCTGACAATTATCGGAAGTTCCCAATGTTTGCTGCGAGTTACCATCGTTTCACCCACTTTCTAATTTATACAGCACTGCTGTCACTATGCTTTTTGTGCGTGTTTATATGAACATGTAATGCAAACATCTGCATGCATGAGTTTTGTGCATAAATGTGTAAGGTGTAACAAGTTATTTACAGGCAACTGCATGAATTTGTAATCCTGCACAAAGAACATGGGCTTACTTCTATAGATTGGTTAAATGATCTGAGTTCCATGAATGAAATAATCAGCGCAATTTGATTGTTAATTCTGCAACCTGTTATTTGCTTCCAAAGCAATACATTTTCAATTGGATACAAAAGCAATTACATTATGTTGATATTTTTATTCTATTCTCATTCAAACTTCAATGGACAGGACAATGATCTTTCTGAGTTTGATGAATCAAGGGATATAATTGAAAGTTTGGTTGATGAATACAAGGCTTGTGAGTCGCCAGATTATATCAAATGGGGCGTGGAGGTATATGCCTGACTGGCCCAAACTTCAGTTTTTGAGCTCCTCTTGGCTGTAACTGATAACAATGTTATATGCAGGATCCCGAGCATAGTTTAACTAGAGAGGGAAATGTCTTGGGAACACTGGATTCAAATTTGGCTGTGTGAACGAAATAAGTAAAGCCTCAATTGTGTAGTCTCGGGTAAGGATTTGTAAGGTTGATTCATTGTTTGCCAAAGTAGTACCATTATGCTCTTCAAATATGGTATTACTTTTGAAAACATGCAAGTTGATTTAGAATCTGCCATCGTTTTCAGTTGTTGCCTTAGGTTTTTGGTGTGGTTTGAAATGAAAATGGAAGAAAATATCACCCCCCACTCCCTTTTATTTATTATTAACTTGATATTCCCTAGACAATTGGCATATACGTTCTACATTGTCTTTTAGTGGACGTGGTTAACGTCCTTGTGTATCCATTGGTTCCTTCATGTGTTTGTTTGTGCTATGCAATTATGTTACTATTTTTACAACAAAAAAAAAATTGTAAAGGCCACTTGCTTTGGCCGGAATTTGTTTCTTTACAGGACGTCACATAAATATCAGGACCACTCTGGAGAGAATATTGTAAATTTATCTTTTTAATATATCCATACACTTGAGTGAAGAAAATACACAGTTGTTTCTGTTTTTGGATTATAGCATCTTGGCTTGTAATTTGGCAATTGTTTTGAGTTTGATTTTAGGATTTTATTCATACTACATTAAGAACAATCTGCGTGGTTTGAATTGGATGCGTGTGTAGGATTTGTTGTGTTGTGTGGCGGTTGAAGTTTTATCCCAACAGATCAGTTTACAGAATGGATTACAAGCATTTAAAATGGTTTGAGAGGGAATATGATTCTAATTCAAAAGAAAAAGAAAAGTTATACTCCATTCCATGTGCATGGAATCAGCATGGCATGTGTTGTTATGTCATGGTCTGGGCTCTGGTCCCATCCCACCTATGCTGCATTTGTTTATTAATAAGAATTTATTGAATTTCTCCGAACTCCCAAAGCAATAACCAGACGGATAAAGACATGTATGGGGATTTTCTGTAGCGACGGCTACCAACTGTCGAATAATGTTGAAAACATGGCAGCTGGAGGGTATCCGAGGCCAGTAGATGATTAGTTTCTGTATTCTACCTCAAGGTTCTAGTTTTGATTTAAAAATTATTCATCAACTGTTGATTTCATGTATTTGAACGAGAGCTGATATTAAGCTCACAATTATGTTAATGTACGGTCAAGGCTTGAAAAACTAGACTAGCGAGTATTGGTATTTGGGGGGTTTATCTCATCCAGTCCCTGAAAGTAGCTGATGAAATATAATGCTGATGGACAGACGTTGAAAAGGGTTGTTACTTGAATAGAACTCAAACGCCAGTCGAGGACCGATTCAAAGAATTTGAGTCAGGAGCCACTCACCATGAGGCTATGCCAACAATTCCTTGGTCTATTGACCAATTGGCAACAGCGGCCAATAACGCAAACTGCAAACGGCGATTGCGCATTTAAGGCCATCTCCGGTCCTTAACTCTACTCTAACGTATCTCTATCTCTACTCTAGAGATGAAATAGTAATTCATCTCCAGCGCTATCTCTATATTATCACTAATTCTACTTTATTCACAATATTTAACTATTATAATATTAATTTTACAAATATAAAAAAAACAGAAAAAATATAAAAATATAAAAACCCGAAAAATTACAAAAAAAAATTAATATGATTATTTATCTAATTTTAATATATTTTTATCTATTTTATAATTTAATATATTTTAATTAAAAAAAAACCTTAAATCTAGCGTGAACTACAGTACCGCACTAGATGTGACATGGTACTGTAGTAATACTCTACACTGCTGGAAATATCTCCACTGTAGCGCTGCGTTGGAGATGCCCTGGGTTGAATTGTATTAAGTTTGAAATATTTTAAAATTCTGTAATTTAAAGTTAGAATTAAACCTAATTTACCATTAGAACCCTAAATTTCCATTTGAATTCAATAAAAATATTATTACTCAAATCATAAACTTCAATACCAACTCCTATTTGAAAACATTTGAAAAAAATAATTAAAATATTTCAGCACTTAATGGAAGTAATAACCGTTTAATACAGTATCAATAATAACGTTTAGAATTTTTATTTTTAGAAAAAGGTTGGTATGAAAAGAGAGAACAACTAAGCATCGAACAACCTATGAACAGTCTGTCCCAACAAACAAAACAATACAGAGAAAAGAAAACCCTGACCCACATTCCCCTAGTTTTCCACTTTTCCTTGATTAACTCCTAACCTCAGCCTCTTTATTTAAACCCAGCTTTCCTCTTCAGAATTCGTCTACTTTTTTTTAAAAAAAAAACCTTGCCTTTTTCTCCGAGCTTGTCTTCAGCTCTGTTTCTGTTCAGCACTCTCCTTTGCAGATAACAGTGTTTGAAACATGGCAACCATTTCCTTCAGGGTTCTGATGAGTGCTGCTCTTGTTTTTGCCTTCGTCTCGCTTCATGTTGAAGCTCAGTCTGCTGCACCAGCTCCTTCTCCTACAAGTGACGGTAACTAATCTTCTCTTCTACAAGCTGTTTTCGGGTCTTTAGAAAGGTTCGAAAATGCGTTCGTTACAGGTCTATTGAGCCATTGCCAAAATATGAAATGGGTTCTTTTCACCTGAAAAACCACTGGTTTTCATTGTTTTTCTCACAGTTCAAATACATATGTTTTGTTCTCTTGAAAATGCAAATGCATTACATCGTTTACATGTATCCATTTGATTTTATTTTTTTCTTTTGGCAGGAACTTCAATTGACCAAGGGATTGCTTACATTCTGATGCTTGTGGCACTGGTGCTCACATACCTCATCCACCCTCTGGACGCATCCTCCTACACCTTTTAAATTTACATTATTATTATTCATCTAGTTCACAGATTGCTATGTGGATTTATCTATCAAGTTCTATTTTCTTCCTTTCTTTTTCTGAGTAATGGGATTGAATTTGTTTTGAGAGATTGATGAACTCCTGATTTTTTACTTAATATTTTATTTCTAGTTCTTGATTCTTTTCTTCCAATATCACTTTTAGAATCCTTTGTACCTTGTTAGTCTCTCATTTTCGTCCTTTCTAGATGACTTTCTAAAAAACACCTGTACATTACCAAATGAAGTCATCTTTCACTCCAATCTCAACAGAAGGGCAAGTTTAAAGCACAATTGAACCATCAAAATACACTTTATTGCAACTCTTAACAGGAAAAAGAAAAGGTTTCTGTAGTTCTATTTCAACTTGCACGTTGAGTCAGGCTTTGCATTATGTGAAAAAGAATAGAACAATATACAGCCTGGAATTTCCAGACTAGTTATTGAAGAAATGTTGCCTTTTGAGTCTTGAGCATGGGAATAAAAAGAAGAAAAAAACTTTTTCATGGTTGTTTGAAGAAACATGATGGATTTTTTTATGGGGGACCATACGTGTGTGTGCTATTCTTTTATTTACATCTTTATGCCGGGTAATTATACTAGAAAATTAAATTGCCATTAGTTGGGGCACGAATCCAAGTCTTTCACTCATGATCTTCGTGTCTGTGATGCAAAGCGTACTTGACAACTTCATAAAACGAAACGACTATCCCCACGGAGGGACCAGTGCGACCAACACGAGGACCAAGTCCAGTAAACAGCCCCTTTATCCTTCCATCCCTGCTCCAAATAACCGTTTTGGGACAATGAGTAAATAATGAAGGTGAATATTCTAGATAACCTCAAATGAGCTAACCTGATAATATATTAGGTAGTTTGACTACAAGATAGAGCAATGTGTATTGCCTAAAATTGGCCTCAAGCACAACACACACTACTGCTATAAAATAAAAGTTAGCATTGGTCTTCAGTTTGCTACTGATTGTCTTTCAGGGCGACCCCATTGGAGTATCTTAAAGACTTAAACTATGTTGTTCAAGCTAGGTTGTACGAGACATTAATTTAGTCATTAACTAGAAGTTCTACTACTAAGCACTCAACAGCAACTAGAACAAAGATGATATATTATCCCAAGGAAAAGGAATATTGCATACCTCCAAATTTCACGTAGAGTTTGTCCCGTAGTCATCTTCAATGACTTAGCAGGATCTTTCTGGAAATCATTAAAGAAAAGTTAAAAACAAAATGGACTCATCCAAAGCACTTTACCATGCTTATGCAGTTATGTGTTTGTGACTACATGTGCATGTCTGGTTTGTGCGTGGTGGGGGAAAGGGGCAGCAAGCGGTTGCTTTGTAATGTTCATCCTATCTTAATGGTATTTAAATGCATATCAAGTAAAGCATGACTAGGAAGTTGAGACCTCTATCTGTCGTCGAGTCTTTACAACATCTAGGGGGCAGGTAATAGCAGCTGCAATGCTTCCTGCCACGAAACCAGCGGCAAAATTTGCCCCAAGGATGCTACATGCACCAGCTTCATCACCCACTGAAGCAAGCAGTTTTCTCCTGATCTGAAGAGGGAGAAACCAGAATTAAGTTGAATGTATAAGCTAGCATCAAACATATTTAGAAGTTAAAAAGAAAAAGAAAACACTTATCCTTCTTGAAGGGTTAAGGAAATGAAGTCTCACCGGCTCAAGTGTAGCCCAACAGATTGCAGAGAAAGGAACATCACGAGCAAGTTGTGAACTAAGGCCAGTCCATAAGACACGGTAGTCCTGTACTGCTATGAAGAATATGTCAGCAACAGTGACCATCTTAGTTTAACCAAACTATCTCACTTACAATAAATTTCTCATTCAAGGCCAAATAGATTTTTTCGGGCAGAGAGTAACCAATTCAATGGTTAACTTACAGTTTTGAATGCAATTTGTGCTTGTCACTGGGTTGATGACTCCAACTAGCGTCTTCCATACGCCTGCAGGTTTCATACCACCTTTAGTTTCTTTAAATGCCTGGTAACAAATTAAAGATTCATAAAGTTGAACTTCATTCACTTCTGCAGAGTAGCAAATTGAGGACAATTATAGTAATTCCCAATCAAATTAGAAGAGGCACAAAAGACACTAAACCTGCATGCGGGTCCTCGCCAGTTCAACAGGATAACAAGTTATGCAAGCTAAAGATCGTGCAAATGTGCCTGCAACTAATGGGACATATGGGGTCAAGGATGGAGCATTATTAGCTGCGAATTCCTCCATTGAATTGCGGAAAATGTCATAGCAAGGCATGTAAATGCCAACCTGATTGACGGAAAAAGAAAAGAGTCCATTAGCCCAAAAAATTAAGCACATAAAAATGCTTCCTCACACTGATGCACGGGATAAAAACATGCAAAGCAGGGCAGCGATAGAAGTGAATAGGAATTTTATGAGGAAGAAAGAGAGAGACTCACAGTCGGCACAGCCAACGCTAAACTTGCATTTGTTCCTCTCCACAATCTGGCAAACCCTTCCTGCAAAAAATCATTCCACAGAACCGCCAAAACTAAGAGGTTGTCTGTGCATTGAAATATAAAGGAGATGATACTGATGTGTATGTATAAACAGATTCAAGAGCATTTACAATCAAGGTTTAAATGATTATGCTTAGATAGATAGAATAGTTTCCACAATTGTGTAAAGTGTCTAACACTTAGTTAACTATATAATCTGCGTTTAACCGGGATTCTGTTACCTATGCTGAAGAAATACAACATCCCATTTATTCAAAGAAAAAAAACTTTTTTATTCAAAAAACAGTGACACTACTGCATGAAACACTCGAAGAACAAGTCTAATATAGTAATTAGCAAGTGCAAAAACAACCAACCTGATGAATGACCTTGTAGAAAACATCAAGCGTTCCGGTATACCGATTACACTCGGGGCCACATAATGGTTCAGAACCAAGCACTGAACGCGAACATGATTGAGAGCTTCTCATATTTGGTAACGTCTAAAACAGAAGAGGAATGGAGCAGAAATAAGCACAAAACAATTTAAAGAATCAAATAAACTACTAATATAAACAACATCCAAAACATATTGATACTGAAAACAAGGAAGGTGATGAAGTTGATAAATACCGTATTTGTTTCAAAGCAAGTCTTGTAAGGAACTCCAGCAGCCTGTGCTTGCAACCTTGTCTGGATGCCACAGAAAAACAATTAGTTTTAGGGGGGGGGAATGATTAATTCTATGCATTGGGTTTCCTTTTTAATGTTGAAAAAGACGAAATGCTTTAAAAGAACCTAAAGAAAATGAAAAGAGCTAATATTTTACAAGAAAGAAAAAATAGATACCTTGGCGACATCGAGAGGATTAATGATGACGGCGGAGATAAAAGCGGCGCCAGCGGCAGATAATGCCCTCTCTCCGAAGCTCAAATTGACGTCGGTAACGGCTTTGGAGTTTAGGGTTGAAGAATCATCGAGGGAAGTTTTTATCTTGGTCTCAACGTTCCCTTCAAAATCAACTCTGGAAACCGACGCAGCGTTTATCCATGAAGGAAACCCCTGTCTCTCTCTCTCTCTCTCTCTCTCTCTACCTTTTGAAGTAAATCAAAATTTCATTGACAGAGAAGAAAAAGAAAAGAGACATGTGGGAAGTTGGACAAATTATTGGAAGATTAGATTAGTTAGGTTTAATGGCTTCTTCCAGGGCTCTCCTTCCTCTCTTTTTTTTTTTAAATTAGTAAACAAAAAACAAATGAAAACAGAAAATCAGATATTTGCATGGAGAAGATTGAAGAAGAGGAGGCTACGCAATGTGATACGTGGCGTGGAATTAAGGGCGCCAACCCGAAGCCTAAGGCCAATCCTTCTTCTCTATCTAAAGTCAAAACTCTCATCCTCACTGAACTATCAGCCCAATTTCGAATTAAGCCCAAAATATGTCGATCGTTGCTAGAAAGCCTCAACCGGAACATATAAACATGAGTCTTACATTCCAAGCGTTTCTGTTAAATGGCAGTGGTGCAGGTGGAAAGCTTGTGGAACATTATGGAACATCAAAGAATGGAAGGTAGGGCTAAGGGCTATACCTTTTAATGGTTTTTTGGTTGGACAAAATCATTTCATGGGTTTCTTGTTTGTTTTAAAGGGAAAGTTTGTGTTTGGAATAGAGAAGCTTAGTTGTTCGTCCCCCACTCTCTCAATTATGAATACACGTAAGAAAGTAAATTTGAACTTATAAAATTTTACGAGACAAAAACAAATTTTAATAGAAAATACATAAATAAATTTTAAAATTTATGATAATTTTAAATTTTTAGAGGGGCGACCGTCCCCACCTGCCCCGTCTAGGTCGACTAGTCTCAATTACTATGTATGTCTTGCATTACATTTCATGTATATATTGTGCTCCATCTCATCAGATGCATCCCTAAAGGACCATGTGTGAACCATAATGGCATTCCATTGGACCACAAGGAGTTCAAAATAGTATGCCAGTATAACTCATCATACACTATTTTAATCCATGATTATGATTTTCTTCAATTAAAAGAAAAAAAAATTGAACAATGATTGTGATGTGCTAAGATCAATTGGGCTACTGAAACAGTTTCACTGGACCTGTTTGCCACAAAGTCAACCACACAAAAAATAAGGTATTGGTCCCCTTTCTTTGCCTTTTAGCTATCTATGAGCTTGCTGCCCATTAACTGCAAAACCAGGAAACTCTGTTGTTTTATTTGGTACTGAATTAATGTACAGTGGTTTGGCTCTTTGTAGAAGCAAATGGACATAGAAAAAGGGCAAATTACCTTTTAGGTCGCTAAACTATGATCAAAATTCTATTTTGAACATTAAACTAAGAAATTTGCCAATTAAATTACTAAAGTTTTAATTTTATTTCAATCAAGCCATCTATCCGCAAGTTGTTGTTAGTCACTAACTTAATTGATGAAGTGACTTGTTTTTAATTATTATAATAACACATTCAATAAAATGATGATACATGCCATCGTCTTATTGGTAAAAATCAAAGAAAATATAAATTGGTTTTGCGAAGAGCCAAATCTGAAACTTTAAACATTAGTCGATGTAAGATTTTATACTAAAATATTAATTAAATTATTAAAGATAGAAGTTTAATGGTGTAAAAGATAATTCACCCTGGAAAAACATCCTATGTACATTTTACTAAAAATTCATTTTTAATCTCATAGTTCTATAAGTTTTGTTTGTTCTCTCGTCTCTAATATAAAATCATATGTCTATAAGAGCATTTATTATAATGCTCGGTTTCACTATTGGACCGGCCCTAAAGCACATCCACAGTGACCAGATCTAATAATCCCATTACAACCTAAGATTTGATATAACTTTTACATTATATATTACTTTTATAAATATAATCTCATTCCACATAATTACACAGCTGCTATTGACATTTTGTTTGCATTGGACTGAAGTACGTGATTCCATTGGTCAGCCGTCAAAATTAACGGAAAGCAAAAAGATCGGAAAACATCATTAAGAAAGACGATATATAATTTGGGGTTCACGATCAAGAACCTATCAATATCAATACGCTCGAGTTCCTTAACCTTAAATTTTCCCCTTATTGTATTACAATAATAAGTAAATTTTAATAAAATAAGAAAAATAAATATAGGACCCACAAGATTGATAACTAGCATTATAATCATTAATCAAATCCCACGTAGCTTTAAGGATATTTGAAAATGAAAAATGTAGGTGAAGTGGGTCCTACTTCTTTTGATTTCACCTATCAATATGATGAGTGGCTGAGATTTAATATGACCTGCACTTTTTACATAGTAATCGTAGCATGCTACATTTCCTTTGATCTCGCTGCAATTTTTTTGTCCATGTGATGCAACAGAGGTTTTGCGGGCCAACCTGTTTTCTCTGAGCAAATGTTCAGGTGGATTCAAGCCCAGTAAGCTTGGGACTGAAAGGGCTAAAACCACGTGCCATTCACGTGATCAGATGAGTCGAAAAGACCTCCGTAGTCGGTCTCCAGGTATAACCTGGATGTTCCTCCCTTTCTAACTGTTCCGGGAGCTGTTACTTTTTCAAATTTATAAGTATTATTTCAATAATAAAATTTTTAAAATTCAGATATTTTTTAATCTTCGGTAATTTACTACACATTGAAGACTAGGGTCTAGGGTAATAAGCCTTTTGAACATGTTTAACTCCAGGAAGGAAGTAGCTGAGGTAGCTGGTTACAATCACAACTCTGCCTTGATATTGCATGGAGCTATATATGACCTGCTTGGCTCCACGATGACCGAGTATTCCCATTTCTCACCGATCACTTTATTAATATTAGTTATTGCCGAGTTAAATTCTGACGACTGGTGGTGCTGTGCTACGGGTCGTCGCATGAAACATAGACAGACAGTATAACAGGTAGGTCAGCTGAAGCCGACAAAAAGCTACAACTTGTTGTTGTAGGCTGTAACACCAATGACCAAACACCCGCCCTCTTTACTATTTGCAAGCTGCAAGCCTTTAACACTTCAACTCTACAATGAATACCGCCTAAACGTTAACCAGTGAAACTGTTTCATGGTGATAGTGAAAAGAGATGGAAGTACAGAACCATGTACTCATCTTGTTTTGATACCAATCCAAAATCGTCTCAAATCATTCCACAAATTCAACAACATTTGCATGTGGAAGTGATGATGTGAAATTTCATAGAAAAAGTTTGTTCTAGCAGTGTCAGATGTATTCAAAATGGTTAAGTTTCTTCCTCAATAGTAAAAGCTGTCCATCACACAATAAGCGGAGTAGAATTGGAGTAGTTTTAGGGTCTCCTAATTTAAGTTACCAGACAAATATGTAACCTACAAAAGCCAAATGCCAAACAAAGTCTTAATTTGGTAATACAAGCATATATAGGAATATTTCTTATCCGTTGCATGAGTGGCTCAGGAGTTATATTTGCAGCGTTTGCCCAGCTCGGAATTACACGGTCGAGTGCGTGCTTTTACAAAAGGTGTGCTCTTGCTGTCTTCACTAATTTCATATGAGATCGTGTTCATTCGTGATAGCATAATTTTAACCATGACAGTGAAATTTAGGGCACGAGAACCGGGAAGTGAAAGTAACTAAGGAGCACTGTTTTTAGGCTATCAAAGTGTGGGATTTTCAATATGGTCATAAAATTTTTCCTTGTTTGATTGAGGTGACTTTTAAAGCACTGGCAAAAGGAAAACCAAACAGGGGAACATGTGACACGGGATTGAAGGCCATTGATTAAAAAGAAAGGCTCCATGTTTTGTAATAAAAACCCAGAAACAAAGTAGATTTTATGGCTAAGGTGGCGAACCGTTGAACATGGTAGCCCCCAACTTTAGCTTATACTTGGCAGCCTTTCCAATGCCCGAAATTAAATATGAACGAAAATAAAATAAAAATATCCCACTGACTCCCATCAGAAACACGGACAAGAAAAAAGATCTCAAGTAAAGAGATGATTTTAAACAACAGCCACACCCGCTAAGCACACAACAAAAGGGCCACGCCCAATGAACCGCACACCGAACCGATTCAATGAAAAAAAGAAGATAAGCCATGCACAAAAAAGAACCAAGTATTTACATGTTTTCTTCGCGTTCCTTCACACACTGTACTAGAGAAACACACCCACTAAACGAAAACTGGAAATATGTATCCAAAATTCAACTTGGAATTTACCATGTAGATCATTGCAGCAGTTCGCGTTGTATCCAGGCAGAATTACAGTGATGTTAATAGTAATTATCGACATCCCACGTACAAGACTCAAAATTGACGTCTAGTTTTAGAGAAATATCAGTATAATCGAGTTCTAAACGGTCTTCTGGTAACCTCATTTCATCAAACAATATAGGTTCGAGATTATAGGCATTGAAGTGATCACATACAACACCCGGATCTGCTAATAAATACTCATCTGATAAGTTATTTTGTCCTATTTGGAGTTCGTCAAGGGGTTTCCACTGAATTTCGATGCGCTTCGAAGAGTCATCTTTGGAATCCTTTTGGAGTTGAGCTTCTTCGTTGGACTGGAATCTGAGAACTGATGTAGGTGAGCAGAGAGAGTGGGAGTCTTGAGCCGAGTCATACCCGGAAATCATCTCGAGATCAATCTTCGTTGGAGAATGTCTCACCGGAGGTTTCGCAAAGTTTGTGGGAGCATCAGGGCCTTTGATTCGAATCGCGGCTCGGTCATACTCCAAAGCAGCTTCCTCAGCAGTGTCATACGTACCGAGCCACACCCTGGTTCGATTCGTAGGGTCTCTGATCTCAGCAGCCCATCTCCCCCACGGCCTTTGTCGAACACCACGATACTTGACGCCGTTGGATAAACACAGCTGCTGCTGTTGTTGCTTCTTTGATCTCATATTTACGTGATTGCTTTTACTAAATATTTGCCTGCTTTGTTTGTTTGCTGGCCTGGAGGAACTGACAGCGGAACAATCCTGGATCCTGATTTCGTTTACATGCCTTTTCACCCTTTGATGCCTCGCCCCTTCACATTCGTCGCTAGAAGAATCCGTGGCATCCCCATCGGTTACACAAAT